CAGTCAGTAACAACGTAGAACTTCGTACGTACGTACATCAGTTCGAGTTGCCACACCACATTAGCACAGAGATACAGTTGTCGATTCAAACCCCGTAGTGGTAGAGGTAGTAAGAGTATAAGCAGTGATCGGGAAGATTAGGGTTTGGAGATGTTATTTAAAGAATGTAATCCAGTGAAATAAATTTAGAAAGTGGAAAAGGGGACATGAAGAATTCAGATTAGAATTTGGGAAAACACAAAGAGTGGATGCACCTGCGCCATTGCAAACGATTTTGAGCCATGTCATTCAGGGTCTCTAACCATCGGTTACTATCATCTCGCGGTCTCCAACCACGTAGTCTACACCTACCAACATGACTCAGTCCACTTGTCAGTGACTCCACGGACTTATGCCATGTTTTGGTCTGGCCACCCCTAGCTTTCTTCCAACCTACTCCTATACCATTAAACATCGCACGTCGAGGCAGTCGGTCGTTGGGCATACGTAACACGTGTCCCAGCCATCTCAACTGATGAAGTTTCACTACTTCATCAATTGATTTGCCATCCTTACCTAGTACCATTTTTGTAACTCACACTATACATGTGTAACATGCATCTAATCATTGCTTCATATTTGTAGTTCCGACTTATTTTGTCTCTCGTTTGAGTTTATCTCCACATGATATGTAGGATCCGGAAGCACCACTTCCAACCCTTTTAGCTAGTCAATCAAATTCCAAGCAAATAAAAGTATTAATTGCCTACTGATTTCCTCTTCCCATATTCGCTCTTTATGGGCTACTCTCCATCCAACCACAGTTCATAGAATTGCTTACAAAGCAATACATAGTCATAGACAATCATATAAACTACTGTTTTAAAGGACAATTTTTAGATTCATTGTGCATACTCTGGAATTCTTAAGAGAATGCATAAATAGATTGCTAATCGATAAATGATGACGTCATGGTGTACTACAGTCATCTCATAACTATTCACAAAGTCCACGTATTAATGCATATCTCTTGAGTAAACGGATATGAAAATGAAATGCAGCAAATAAATGACTTGAACAGAGAATATGTAATCAAAGTGATAGTTTCTCAGCACTATCATCCTATGTCCAATACACATAAATGATTTCATATAAGTGAAACTACTTACTAATAGTAGGTAGTATCACATAAACACATAGAAGGAAATGAAATAAAGGTAAATTCAGTGTTTAAAAGCATTGGTGTAAACATATTTTTTATCAACCAACTTCATTTGGAAACTACTGAATTCCAGAAAGTAAGTAAGTAATTGTTGTGAAGTGGTGTATCTCGAACTCTAAGCTTTCAGTTCTTTCTAACGTCAAATATCACAATCAGCGGGATGTCATCGTTCATCGGTCAAATTTTTCCGCGTTTCACCTGTTCTGTTGCAAATTTGAGATATTTTCTACTTGACACAGTTTGGATAATCAAGATTTTATCATTCACTTTTATGAAGGAGAACCTACGGCTCAAATAGGAGTATATGCTTTCAAACTTTCAAGCGAAACTCTACGACAGTATTTTGATATGCCCAATACACTGTAGACCTGTTGTAATAACTTACAGTCACTTCCAAACCTTGAATGCTAAATATAAAACAAGAAATATGATAGAATGTATCTACATCGACTGATTTGCACTCACTTTCACAGTAATATTCCCTTTCACTTTGTCATCAAAGAGAAAATCATATTCCAGACATCCCGTTCACTAACTATGCTCATTTCTTTATTATTTGTCACCTTTTACACTGTAAAGTAACTTCTATCCAGTGTATGAAATGTTTGATAAATTCATTAGTGATATCCAAATGTCCTGACGTGAGTGTCCTTTGTAGCTTCATCTTTTGATCCTTTATGACGTGTTGGTATTTGCGGATCCTGTAGTGTGCATCCGTTATCATTAGGTGTACCACTTTTGGACAAACTACTCATATAACACACTCATTACAAAACCGAGTGTCCTTAGTTCGATTCCAGCTTGAGACATCGTGGATACGAATAGCTGGGAATTCATGTATTGGGACGAAATAACCATCTAATGTATAGCAACTCACGTGCAATCGAGTTTGTTCACAATTAATTCGATTAAGTCATTTTGTTAACTTATTGACGAACTGAGTCATCCGTACAACAACAACTTATCTTTATCATCGTATCTTTATTATTGTTGCGAATGTATGAACATGTATGCTTGAGCATTGCTTGCTGCCCACGCATTTATTCACGCCTTACTTCTAACCGCTAAATTGATTCGTTCATTTCACTATGTATATATATGTCCATGTTATTCATGTTCATTGCTCCCTCTCTCTCGCTTATCTGTACTCGCTTACTGGTAGCGATATTCGCTGACTCACTCGCTTGCTTGCCTGCTTGACTTTTGGCACAACTCTTTCATGCACGTTTAACGTACCTGTACTTTTGGATATCTGAGTGTGTGGTCCCATAATAAACATAATCAACACTTCGTATTCGCCTTCTGATTAATATACCGTTGGGGCGTTATCTCGTGACGGTTAACAAAACGAACTGTATACGATGTTTAAGGATTATATTGAATACCGATCACCACAAGTGCTTTCTGGTTTACAAAGCTTGCCACGTTCGAAATTTCAATGAAATTCAACAATCTTCAAAACCTTATACTAAAAAGTTATATAATTGATTGAGAGATATTTCTAGACATGCAGTGAATTATTAAGATTCATGTACAAACGAATAAGCTTGATGCGTATGTTAACGACTAGAATATTTATAAGCAAAGATGGATAGTGGCTAGCAGTGGAATCCAGTTGATGTACACTCTGGGATTTGAACTCAGTGAACATCAACTCTGAGACACAGGTACATCCAGCTGACGAGTCCCAAACAGGACGAAACGCACGTCCTGGATTCCACTGCTAGCCACTATCCATCTTTGCTTATAATGCTTGTATATTAAGACAATATCGAGGCATACGCACAATATGCACATATGCCAATAAGAGACTGATCAATTTCAGTCCTAAAACATCAATGGGAAGATTCAAGTAAAACAATACCAAATGGACTAGAATATTTATCTTTATTTTTATGGATAATCTCATGAAAGAATTTAAAAGTTTATCGTGGTAATGTCGAACTTTTAAATTGGTACAACATGGTGTCGATTCGTTCGCCGTAGCGACGAAGTTAAGAAATAAAATAATAATTAGCATTTGCAGTTTGTTAAAGTTCGACCGTGTAAGAATGGGGGCTTGAATATGACTCTTTCATACACAGAGATTATATTTTGAAAGGTGAATCGCTATAGCTTCAGCTGTGCCCAAATATTCATTTTTTGTCTTTAAAAGTGTTGAAATATTCCACCTATGAACTATTATCCGTTTGTCAATATTTTGCGGCATCGATCCATTGGGAAATAGAAATTATCATTCATGTCTGTTGAACAGTATAGAAGAAAATGGTACTGGGTTGCACGTAGGCTGTTGCAATTACTGAGTTGAGTGCATTCTTGTCCCTGACTTATCATAATGTATCAATTTTAAAAAGTCACACGAAATAAAATCTAATCATTGCGAGTTGCTTGCATGCGTGCGAAGCCGAAAGTACCGCGTAGATGCGCACTGCTGAGGAGTACCATACAAAGACGAAACGGCCGTTCCAGGTTTTCAATGGTGTAGTATCCTTTATATAACATGGCGAGTAAGAGCAGGTGTAAATCGTCAATCACAAATCTTTATATACGTGTATATATTATAGATCAGTGAATAGTACTTTAATTAATCCGTTTTCAACAGTTATCAAGGATAATGTGATCCGAAAACTTCCTATACAAAGTCCTTGAGAACATTGAAAATCAACCACCATTATAAATGAAATCGGTTAATCGGCAAATAAATTTTGCACATGAACAGTCAGAAAAACTTACCAAAGTAATGCAGAACCATCCACAATATCAATGGCAAACCTCGTCTCATATAAGATACTCAGCTCTATATAGCAATACAGCATATACTACATAGAACACATATATAGGATAGTAAACGAAATAGACCAGCCTGAAGTGTTAGGGCTAAAATCACTCTTAAAACCAATTATCTGCTGTTGGAATACTATTACTAGGCCACCAAAATCATTTTTATCGCATTTGTGAAATGATACTAATAGATCTAATTTACTGATTATCCATTCGAGATCATTAACTCAGTAATAGATAATCATTGAGAATTTCATTTCAATCGAACTTTTTCAGGTGATGTCTATCCCTTTTTTACTAGTCGGTATTTCAGGTCTGTGTTCACTGTGACTTAGCTGCTGAACATTGCTGACTCGATATGTGACCATGAAATGTAGGCTTCAAAAGTAGAAAACATTTAAAGATTACCAGAACTTGATCATAAGTAACTTTATAACACTTCGACCATCAAGTGATTAATTTTGTGGTTGGAAGCAGGATACTATGTTAGGATGATTAACTGGTCTATGAGTCAATGAACTTTCACCTACTGACGTGGCTGAGATAGGCAGTATTTATACGCAATGAACACGTCTGAATGAGCAACTTTGACCGTTATAATCATAAGTTAGAAGAAAACTATGGGAAGCTAAAATAAGATACATCATCAGTTCTTGGATTCATCGACCGTTGGCATATATAAACTAGCCGGTTGTTGTCCGCTTGATAACCGCAAACAATGACTGAAAAATGGTCAAAAATAGTCCGTATACATTTATTCTTTGATTTCTAGATTATTTTATTCGGAAGATACCATTCTTTCTCCTTGATTCAGTTTTATCATCACTGAAACTACAACTTCTAAATACTCCAATATTTATTCTAAGCTTCTAATGTAATGTAGTGAGAACATGAACCGAATTATATTGATCGATAACTTATTCTCTTATGTTGCCTATCTCTATTTTGTTACATGATTTACAAGTATCATATCAAAGTGAAATGCCTTGGTAACAAATTTTTCAAATAAAAGATTATAGAATAACAAAACTATTTATGTTTTCATTGATTCATTTATTAACAGTTCGTAAAAATAACAGTTAAAATATGGGGGGGAACAGTGGGATTTTTTTAATTTTAAAAAAAACCGTAACCCCCCACAGTTATGCTTGTTTTAACTAAATAAAAAAAAAGAAAACCTATCTATTTAATATATATAATGCAAAGAAAAAAATAGTAACCGAGGCAACAAAAGGGAATAGAACTCGATTGTTAACTAAGTATAATCAATACAGAGAAATAAGAAAAACCATACTACCATAGAATGTAAAAGAGAAAAAACAATCTAAATATTTGTACATAATTTCTAAACTAAAATTGATTGTACATGGTGATTTGATGTCAATGGACAGTGTACGTTATGTTGTTACTGACATATATATATATCTCAAAGGTGAAGCAAAGCATCAATAAAAATGTAGTGGTGTAAATAACTTCTCAATGCAATTTTGTTAACATAAAAGAAAAAAAAGTCAAGTGACGATGACAATAACAGAAATAAACAACTGAAATGCATTTTATTAATGACGATAATATGATTATGCTAATGTAGGCAATTTGTTATTACTGACCGCTGTCGATGTGGATGATGTAATTGCCGGGATGGTGGTAGTGGGGATAGTAGCGTTGATTGTTGTTGTCGTTGTTGTTGCTTTCATTGCAACATGTTCGAAACGACCTAATTGCAATGGACTAGAACATCCAGTTTCCAAGCTATTATCATCAATATTATTATGAGTAGTATATGAGTTCATTGTTACTTCATCCGTGGAATATGGATGCCATACAGTTCCCCAATGAGGTGGTTTACGTACAGCTCGTTTTCTATTGGCATTATTTAAAAGATCAGGATCAACTTCATTCATTACTCTGTGTAAAAAAGGCAGGTAAGTACGGAATTATTGATCATAGATGAGAGAAAAGTTAACGAGAGATGTGATAAATCGGACCGATGAATAAAGTGGGACAAAATACGAAGTTATTCGAGAATTAAGCCGATTGGTAGCTTACTTAGTACTGGAAAAGACACGGTTTTCAACAAGTCCCAGGTTTGTAATACCTCTAAACCTAATTTGATCTACATAATTGGCTATTATTCACACTAACCTTTGTATAGAACTACCAAAAACAAAAGAATTGAATTAAAGAAGTTTGAATCAGGAATTGGTGCACGGTTATAGCTATAGAAATCAATCGATTCACGCTTGATCTTTTTTGTATTTGTCAAATAGATATATATGTTCAACATTTAAACCACAAATTATTACCTCCCGAATGCCTTGGTACGGCAGAGGAAGAGGAGAGTCAACTCTCCCTTTTCAAATGCTCTCACATGGCCACGCGTATACAGCCACTACTAGGGATGTCCTACTAACTGTTTACCATTTTTCTAAAAAAATACATTAAAAACTGAGAACATAATCCTACACTCTGTATACATTCCTATTCGACTTAAAATGACAACAAAGTGAAAGTGTCAAGATTTAATTTCTCATTTTCAAGGAATTAAGATAAAAGTGAAAATCTTTAGTTTAATCAAAGAATCACCATTACGTAATTTACCATCCTCAATATAGAAATATACACATAGATAAACATAATTTATGATGGGCGTTTTCAGGAGGGAGAAAATGAATAAGAAATGAGGGTTTTCATAAATGTGAACAATTACTTATGCTGTGATTTATTCAAATCTTCTGGCCAATCCGATGTACACATTGTGTCCAGTTTAGCTTTCCATATACAACTTGATTCATCTTCAATTGGATTATTGGTTGAATCGAATATTGGTGGTGGATAAGCGGCAAAAGGAACACTGGCTAATGAGAAACGATAATCATCATATTCAATTGGTTTATAAGCAGTAAGAACTGCTTCACGTGCTGCTTCGGCTTTACGACGTTCGACAAGATTTAGAAAATCTGGACTGGATAAACTTTCTGGTGGTTGATGTATAGAAGCAGCTAACATTTGTAAGCCAACTGATTCAGCAGCCGTTTTACCAATTCCAGCTAAATTGCTTCCATACAGTGTATTAGTAGGATCATCGAAAATCATTAATGAATAATTTACTGGGATTGTAGTTTGTAGTGTATTTGTAGGCCATAAACTTTCCGGGAATGGAGAAGCGAATTCTGTAGGTAAAGGTGATGTATTAAATTGGCACGAATTTATATCATGAATATATAAGTGTAGTTGTCCAGCTTCAGTGGCGAAAACGACACAATTCCCACTAAATAATAAGGAAAATGAAATATGACAATAAATGCAACGTATTTCTGAACAATGTCTCTTATGGTTGACCAAAGGAGAAAATCAAACAATAAGCTCTATGTTTTGACGTATTTAGTCAGTATCAATCACCACATCGGTAACAATTTAGCCTTCAAAGATATCGGAAGGATTTCATTGAACTCATCTATTGTTTTCGTAATTCATCTCTTTACATATTAGCATAAGCCATTGGAACATACACAAATAAACCTGATCTTTGTGTACAGAAAACATTTGTACAACCTTTTTATTTGCGCTGGCCATCAACATAGTTACGCTTTTTCAGTCTTTAGCTTTAATTTCTTATTCTTACGTAATTTGTCCTAATATGACTTCATTATTTAATTTTCTATGAACATCTTTCATGAATATATATATGGACATAAATGGAAAAAAAATGATAGAAACTTACTTTTGTGATAGATCTGTGGCAACTAGTCGGTCGTAACCTAACCACAATTGACCTAAATCATTGGGGGAAAACGCAATTTTACCCCATTGTATAGTTTGAAAAGCACCAGTTTGTGAAGTAGCCAATAAACTATCACTGCAACCAGGTATAAATCGAACAAAACATGGATCTAGTGATGTAGAGAGTGGGACTTGAGCACGACCCGATCGAAGATCATATACCTAGATGCACAAATGCGTAATATAATACAACGATATCAATAACTACAAAGAGATACATAGTAATAGTAATAAAATAAGATAGGAAGAGAACAAACCACTTCTACCGGTCAGTCACATGACGATACAAACATTAATTCGATTTAAGGAATGAGAAGCATTAATTTCTAATTGCATTGACTTTGGAGGACAGTATTTTAAGTTATGAAAAATCATTGATTACGACTTTATTAAAGTTGGATAGTAGTTAGTGGAAATCTGAACGCGCGTCTTGTTCTATTCAAGATGCATCAGCTTTATGCGTTTGCATCCCAGTACTGTTAATGTTCACCTTGAGGATTGAACTCAGTGCGTAATTAGATGAAAAACGAGTGGTTTGGACTCCACTGACAATGAAAACCTGTGACTAATTGGTTGTATATAGTCAATACATTGAGGATGTACATGTCCCAATAAAATTTGATCAACTTCAGTCTTTCGCATCAATAATGAGAAAATAACCCTTACAAACTGACTGTGACTGTTTAGTGGGATCTTAAATACTTCATTCTCCCAAACAATGTGGATAAAAAGATAAAAACTTTATGGACTGATGGTATGTTACAATTTTAAATAATTTAGCATTCATTCAAGTGGATTTTGTAGGTCAACCAGTATAATAAATAAAAATGCTGTCTACCTCCAAATGAAAGGAGAGGTTAGAAAAGGTCGGCTCTGTAAGATAACACACCAAGCTATGGTCGCTCCGAATTCATAATGCTGGCAATAATCTTTGAAAAACACAGATCTGATACATCAGAAACTACTCCAACGGAAAATTCATGCTCGACTAATCTTAGGCGGCAGCAACATCCTGAGATTTGAAACCACACTCCTAGCTACATAGTTCATTCAATACTCTTTGTTCATCTTACAGGTCTTTCAACAAGAAATATTCTTCCACAGCATTAACGAGCAAGGAATGTTAACAACTTGAAGAATTCTTACACTCAAATGCATCTTATTTATACACAAATTGCTTTCTGCTTGATAATATTTCTTCGATTTTAATGTTGCCCTATCTTTTATATGTGAAGAGTGAAATGTCATTCCTGGTCTCTTCAAAATGTGCTTCATACGATATATATATCAAGAGATAATCTTGATCTATGTGAGTGGAGAACTTAAATGAAACACTTTGAAATAGAATTAATGGTTATTCATTAGGGCAATAATCAATTTTGCACAAAATCAAATTAAAATGCAAAATTTAAATAAAATGAAGATCATACTCTCAACAAGCGGTCCACACGTAATCCAGAATCACCGATACGTGACCATCCACAAGTGACTAATGTATGACTATTCGCATCAACTGTCATATCAGAGATTTCACCAGTATGTGCGTCTAATTCACGTACAATACCATGACTGGTACGCGAATCGATTATCATAACCTAAAGAGTATAATCCGAAAAAAAAGCGTCCGATAAAAAGTTTTGTTACAAAATTTCAATGGATCGTAACGACTATACTACTGAGATTGTTTACAGTAGTCAACTTGTGAAAGAAATATATATTCAACTAAATCATTTCCGCTCCTAAAGTCACAGTTCGATGGAAAGGTTTGAGAAAAGGGGAAATATGAAACTCGGATAGTTATTGTGTGGTGAATTCACCGGCACACTTTTAAAGACTATTTATCAAATAATTTTTTATGATACAATCGGGACGCTAATAAGGAAATGAATTAAACGTAAGTATATATATAATGAAGAGAAACTTACTTTTCCATTTGTATTTCCAGCGCATAAGCCACCACTGAATGGTCGAAGCACTACAGATCCACCAATTCCAACATCTATTGTATTGATTACTTCACCCCAACGTTCTACAGCATCTACTTCTAGTAGGGTTGGTTGAAGACCACCCAAGAAAAATCGTGCGAAGTTCCCTAAACCATTACCAGCTCCTCTAATACCGGATCCACTCATCAAGGTACCAGTAGGACCAGTTACAGCTAAACATTCTAACTCTAGCATGAATTTATGTCTGAAAAGGAAATTATTATTCATAAATAACATGAGTGATGGATAAATTATTGCAGGGTGATAATGTATCAGTTTATCCAGTTAGTAAATATTGATTATTGTGTTTAGCAATGAAAACCCAGTAAGTAAATACACTCACATAAAAACAGTTGACTAATCTCCCACTCGTTTTAAACACACGATTCAGATGGTGGGGAAACATTGAAGTCCTTATAAGTAATGCAGTCGTTTGATTTCGGCTGATCCAATAATAATTCAATGCCACCCCACACTGTTACTTGTTTAAAAGCTCTAACTAGTCGCAGCATTGATCTACAAATGCTGAACCAATGGATGATATTTGCCCTGAATTTGAAATGGGAATATAGAGAAAACAATGATGAATAAAACATTTTAAAAAATGTCCCATCATTATGTGGCTAACACAAATTATAGAAGAGTCAACTAATTGTTATTAATTTGTGAAATAGTAATTAATTATAGATTTTGATTTCGTCTAACCAATTTTAACTACTGATTAAACTTATTTATTGTTAGAGTAGTGATGATAAACTTTTTTCTAATAATCTTTAACACTGATTACAATAGCTTGTTGAACGGTCAATAACAAGATGTGACATGAATACTTTCGTAGACATAAACTAAATATTTGAGCGGTCTGCACGATAATCTTCATCAATGATTGATAACTTATTGTGTCATGGGACAAAGTCGATTGCACATGCCTTGAAATATTCATTCTTTACATTCGTATCTACATCTTAAGTTTCTGCATTATTCCATACTTTTAATACACTTATTTCTTCTTTCTAAACCATATTTCTAATCTTTCTTAATATCATTAACCCTACAAGTAGTTTGATTCTTTCTTTTTTTTTATTAACAGAGTTAATTCCACCTCTCTATGATGATTTCATGAGATAACCTGTACCGATTGATTGATAGTTAGTTTCTAAAGAGGTAAAAATGAGACAAAATCCTTCAAGTTTATTTACCAAATGATCAAAGGAAACTATCTTAATGATACCTATTTTCTTCCCATAGTTATCAGTTTAACTGTACTAACAATAAAGTTAAAAACATAATTGTATCTTAACAAAATTTCACATGTTTCTTTTATACTAGCTCATTGGACATTGATGATAAGAAATACAATCAATACAATGAATATGTGCTAGCAATGAGTTGTCAGTGATTATTTTGCTCAATATAAAACTCGACAATATCATATATATTATACAATTGTTATAGGAATGAATGCTCTGATCTGTGTATAAACATATGACCAATGTTTTCATGATTGAAATCACAAGTCGATCTAAGTTAGAACACCTTTGAAAACCTAGAAGCACTAGATAACCGTTTCTTCTTAGTATGAGACTCCTCAGCAGTGCGCATTTACGATCGTGCGAACGCCTAACATCGAGGCCACTGAGTCGGCATCCAACGATGTTAATGTATGACTTCAATCTTGCCCAACCCTTCATCCATTGTCCGAGGTCTGTCTCATATTCGAGTCCCATACTAAGACGAAACAGTCGTCCAGTGTTTTCAGGTTTTTAATGGTATTCTAACTTAGAACTCGTGATTTTGACTGTGGAGATACTAAAATCTCAAAAATCTACATACTGACATGACTAATATGTACAAGCCAATATAGACTTCCACATTATGATGATCCAATCGAGCTCTATTATAATTGAAACATTTGTTTCGTGAGGTCCTAATCATACCCAATCAGGTTGGTTGGAAAGTGGACTAAGAGCATCAAACTTATGTTCCGGCGGTAAAGTCAAATTGTTATTTCCCACTGTAACCAATATCTGCAGATGCACTATCTTCAAACAACCAGAGAGAATTAGTGAAGGTTAGTTCTGAAAATAGCACATCTCACGTTGAGCCACAGATTTCTGTCTCTGGTGACAAGACCTCATATAATACACCTATAACACTGTTTACAAAATAATCGTGACCGGGTCCGAACAGTTATCCCTTGGACTTTGCGATCACTATCCCAAGTTGTTAAGATCACTTCCTCCTAACATAATTTCCTTTCCAGGTACTTCAAAGAAAAGCATCCTTCCACGGTGTGGACAACTAGGAAGTGACAACGTCCCTTTTATTACTAACAGCACTGCAGACTTATTGCATGTTAGAGTTCAAACTAAGTTCGATTTTCGTAAAGATTTCGGTCGATCAGACCACATTACCAAAACGTTGAACATTTGTTCTGGTCTATGAAAAACAAATTTGAAAAAATTGTTTGGTGCTGGAAGTCTTAAGCGCCAAGTCTGAAAATCATGAATTCGATTATCAGTGAAGCACTAATGGATGCCTTACTGTATTTTTGAAGACAGAAAGAAAATATAAAAATGAAACAAACCAAAGATGGAAAAATACAATTCAATCCTGCGACTAAAAATACAGGTTCATATAATCAAGATTTCAACAAAATACTGGTTGTAATCCAATTAAACTTACACAACAGAAGCTAATGGTCTGCCCATTTTTGTATAAGCATGTAAAGCATTATTAGCCAAAACAAAAACAGAATGTTCCATTGGACGAGGTGAAGGAAAGACTTGCTTCAATCCATTATATGGTGTGACAGTTTCAAGTGAATTCACATCAGAAATCAACGGTACAGTAAGCGTTATATAACGTTCCATGGTAGTTGAATAGAATGCACTCATTTGACCCTGAAAAGTATTCACCAAAAAATGTACAATAATTCTAGGTGAATTAAAAAAAGCCTTAGTTGACAGACCAACAGATTATATATATTTGAATCAAAACTACTAACTTACTGTACGTGTCACACACCAGATTAATTCTTCTAAAGGATCGAAAGCCACATCTGCAATCCGATCAGTTTGAAATAAACAATCCATCATTTGTGTTCCAGCATGCCAATAACCACCTGTTTGGTAATATTCTGCTCCAGTCAAAGTTGGATCATACTGTGCTTCAGCAGGTAAAGTAAGACTAGAATCGCCACCATCATCCTCATCGCCAGGTGATATATGCTCATCACATGGATGCGGATGATCAGATGAATCGTTCTCAGTTGTATACGACATAATCTGTTTACACGATAAGTTTGTGTAGAAATTTTACTGAAAAGAGACAATATTAAAAAACCCGGTATATATGTGAATGCTATTTATATAAGGCAAAAATGGGCTTTCAATGAGTAACCAGTTGGTTTTAACATCATACCGTAATTACTTTAGCCTCGGCAACCGTATATTGTTAGCCATCATCATCAAACAACTACAGTGTAGTTTAAAGTCGAATATACATATAACTTTTACTAGTGACATAGTATACAAAATTCTGATGTAACAAATTTTCTTAAAGAAAAAACTACACCTTTAGGATGACTGAATTGTGTACACCATTCAACAAGACTAATATTCAAAACCCGTTCACACTGTAATAGTTTAATGCCATAAACCATGAATTCAGTATACTTACTGCCAATGGAGTGAATAATTATTATAAATTACACAGAAACCATCTGATCGTATTAGTGTTATACCATGGTAACTAAACGTATTTATTGCTTTCTTTAAAATTTTAACTTTACAAATAATGTTAATTTCTGGTTTTAAAACTCCATATAGTATCAAGTATTTTCAACTGGTTAAAAGATGCTGACAAAAATGCTGAGATCTTGCTCTTTTTCTCTTACAGTTGGTACATCGTCATTCACTGAACAACTACTTCAACTAGTTATATCACATGATCATTACAAAAAAGAAAACAAAACATCCATGTTACATTAAAACAACTGATTTACAAAAGTAATATTTCTTAACTCGTAGGAATTCCATCTCGAGAGTGATAAATAGTAGTGTTTAAATTGATATCATGAATGGATCAATCTTAGACTACTAATGGAACCTAGAAGCACTGGAAGGTCGTTTTTTCCTAGTTAGGCAGTTATTCACCGAAGACAAGGGTGGACGGTTGTACAATGTCATAGATTAATTGAAGTTAGACATTAGCACTTTCAGCGGTCGGCTCAGTGGTTTAAAGGTTAAGCGCTCGTGAGTGAAACCGGTCTTGGGTTCGAGTTCCGAGTGCGGGATAGTGAATGAGGATTGCTCAGGAGTCCCATACTAAGACGAAACGGTCATCCAGTGGTTCTAGGTTTTCAATGGTGGTCTAACATTCATGATATCAGTTTAAACACAACAAAATCCATAACCCTATGCTGATAAGTAAAGTTTATGATTGAGAACGATTGATAGATTTTATAAAGTAGATTTCTTAATTTATTGGTGATGATATATTAAACTAAGTGTGAAAAAGTTATACTAGCTGACTAAGTTCTAACATTGTTGTATACAAAGGACAAAAAGTATTTTCCCCAAGACATTTATGTATAACTGTGCAGTGTTAATATTTATGAGTGGATAGAATACATGTATATATATATCACGGGGTTAAGGTCATTTATCACTAACTTATAATTATAATCTATGAATAGATCCGCGTTGCCTATTCCTTGGATTTCAATACACTCAAGTTGAATAATTGAATAAAACTCTTAGTTACGGATTCTTTGCAATAACTCATCTGAACAAGATTTTGAGACACACTATTTATGTGGTGTCTGCTGGGTAAGTAATAGTGAGGTTCGACGCAGGGTATTAGGGAATGATGGTAAATCAGTTGATGAGATTGTGAATCTTTATCGACTGAGATGGTTGGGTCACGTGTTACGTATGCCCGAACACCGATTACCACGACGTGCAATGCTAACCGGTGTTCGGGATGGTTGGAAGAAAGTTAGGGGCAGCCAAACCAAAACGTGGCATCAGTCCACAAAGTCACTAACATCTAGTCTGAGCCATGTTGGTAGATGCAGAGTACTTGGTTGAGGTCCGCATGACTATCGTAACCAATGGTTGGACACTCTTGATGACATGGCTCAGAATCGATCACAATGGCGTCGGTGTATACACTCTCTGTCCTCTCATAAACTAAGAGATTAAAATCGCTTTATATCTTTCTTTCTATGGACTGATTCTTTCTTCTTGTACTATATCCTTATTACAATCTTTCTTTTGTATATTACCACCTCTGAATTAACTACTTTTATGAATCCGGTGTTCATCTTGTTGTGTTAATGAGGTATGGCAACTTGGACCGATGCATGTATGTGCCTGGTCCTACGTTGTAGCTGACTGACTGACTAACTATTTGTGTGAATGCTTATGAAGCAGAAGTGAGGATTCGAACCTGCATTCCAGTTACTGAGAAAGTCTAATAAAACATCCAGCTAATACTTCATAAATTATTATTTACAATTGGTTAGTGAGTCAATAATTGCATGCGAAAAAAAACGACACTAACTAATAAGTAAACAAAACACATAACGAAAAAGGGTCCTATATTTACTAAATTAATCAAACCAGACAATAAAACACTCTGTTTATCAAAAAATAATTTAAACAAACAACTACAGTGTGGTAACCATTAGCAACAATCTCCAAAAATAACCATTCGACAAAATAAGAACACAAGCAAATAGAAAAGTATATCATTTATAAACAATAGTTAAATATAAAATCACTAATATTGGGTAAATCTTAAGTATACAATCTGAATGACTTTCAAGTGATAATCGTTACGGCTAATTAGAAAACTCTTTAAAAGCAAATGAATGATTTATCAAGCTAGGAACTAGGATTAAGATAGGATTTTTGAATTATAGCTGATAACGGTCCTAACAACATCCAAGATTAACACCTAATATAGTCTTTCTACAACTTAATTCTCATGTTTGTAGGTATCAATGCCAAGGTTAAACTTAGTAGCTTCAAGTAAATTGAGCATTGAATAGAAGGTTAATAACATATTTTATGTTATATTCTAATGAGTAGGAAATTGTATTAGCAACAATGAAGTTCACAAACATCAGAAATACAATTTCCCATTCATTGGAATATCACAAAAATATATTTATTACCAGTTTATAAGTAATACACTGATTATCTTTATTAAATAAAATGGAAGGAATCTAATATGACAGCAGTTATTGGATACACATTCGTGTACTTGATTGCAATTGAGTTGTTTAAATTGAAATAAATGGATCGAGTAATATTCTTTGAATTGTAACCGTATATAAGATATTTCCCTATTTTGATTGGTAATATGCTTTTAATTTATTAGGTAAAGATTTATTTACTTGACTTTAAGCTACATGTTTCTTAATTTGAGGAGTGATGATGTTATTGGGTTCTACAAACTTAACTAGGTGAGATGGGAAGTCAAATTTGTTAACCACCGCTTATAATGCACCCTTTCATGTATACTGTTTTTTTTTCTTAACAACCTGTACACGATATACAATCATTTAGACTGGTGTGACCACATTGCACTTTGATCAGCAGCAACGAGAACTAGACAAATTATAGTATATTGGTTGCTATTCAGGTATCAATCAATTTAAAAACTATGTCCCGGTAAAAATGTTTATTTAAAAAACTTTACCGGAATGACAAAGAAGATGAGGTTCTAATGCAAAGAACAATTTACTAAACAAAATATTTTGGTGTTAATGTGATCTTGGGGATTGGTGCCCTAAGAAAACCATCTGCTTCGGTTTGGACGACCGGGCAGTATCTCAGAGCTCACACAAATCAACTGATTTGTGAGGCGCACACATATTTGGTGCCTTTTTGTACCAATGTTTATAAGTTTAAATAGAAATAAATAAACAAAATGTCATCTAGCCAACTAATTTGTATCAATCTTTAATGTATTCAACCTTAAGTCACTAAGTCTCAGATTCAAACTCACTCCGAAGCTTTTTGGTTTGAGCAACCGGGTAGTACCACTATCTACCACACTTTGACTGTAACTAAAAGCTAATTATACGAATCTGTACGTGATTGACAAGTTAGTAACAATAACAAGTAACCAACGTCATATTTTCCTAGTCTTAGGAGTATCATGATGTTGAGTCACGTGATCGGTGGAAAATGAGCAGTAAAATGGACTAGAAATAACACGATATTATCAATTAGTATTCAGTCATAGTAAACACACATGTATATTTACAACAGTCTACAAGTAAGCGAAGTAACGACACCACAATTAGAAAGAATAATCGACTTAATATGAGAATTTATTTCAATAAAGTGTACAAATAAATAAGTATGCTTATTTTTTCTCCTTTGTCTTCAATAGTAGTAGGCGAATTCAAAATTCTAACTGATTTTCGTGCAATTTGGAACATGTGAAGACTGCTTCCGGTGCATTGGATCTATTTACTGTATCGGATAGAGAAGGTGGTAAGTGAAAATGCTGTGGAATGATGAAAAAGAAAACGGATTAGAAGAGAAAAAAAGTGAAGACAATTTGACTAGTCTATATTCTCCTAGGGAAAAACTATGTCGTCATTCAAACTTGGGAACAATGGTTTGGTTCATTAAAACACTCGGCTTTATACTAATTTATAGTAGGTTTGAAACCCATACCGCCAGTTTCAGCTTAAACAACCAAAAGTCGTATCACTACTGGTACTCGAAAAATAGTATATGAACCTATCAGTTAATCATGAGCAACATAAAATTTGGTACACGCGTGCATCTGCTAAAGTTGCTACACCACAATAGCAAGACAAATGTCAGAATAGTAGAAGTAGTAACAGTATCAGTAATAGTCAAAATGATTATACATAAACGATTTGCTTTGAGAATGAATTCGTGAAGTAAAAAATACTTTATATTTTTGTCGCACTTTGCTGATGTGACATATCAACTAGGACTGGCCAAGGTTATGACTGACTGGGTGATACTCTGTAGCTCGCTTATTATTTGTAAATCAGTGGTATGGTTTTGAAAAATTGAGCTTCTATACCAATAGGCCATAGATTTCTTAATATGGGTTAGATTATACATATGATTTTAAATAAGAAATCGTTCGTTTTGTCTTTAGATAAGCAAAGATGGATGAATTAGTTTTCCACAGTCCATGTACAAACAGATCAGTAGATCGCTTAATAAATTACTTTTTTTTCTTCGTTTCAACTCATCAGGTACAAATTCATGTATTTGGCTTCTAGTGATGCTACTCAGTTGTCCACACAATAGTAGGTG